GGTGATTATGTTCTAGACAGTTTATACAGCCGTTTATTTCAAATTACTTTTTAATTGAACTATTCACGAGGTGCGATTGATTAGAATGAAATATTTATGTATAGTTTTGTAATGTCTTTACTATGGGCTACTTAAATAAGAGTTATCGTCCAGTTTGGCCGTAATGGAGTAGGATATATCTATTTGTGTTATTTAAGAAAAATATATATAAGAAGATAATTGTTTTAATTATAATCATAGGCAAATTTTCAGTGTTTCAATTTTATTTATCCATTTCTCGTACAGTAAATTATTTTTTTAACTATTAGAATTCATGACTTCAAAATAACCTTAGAAGTTATTATTTTACCCTCAAATGTTATGTAAGTGGTAGTATATAAGTGAGAAGCAATTTTTGTTTATGTCGTAACATAATATGTATATTGTATATAAAGGCATAGAATCGAATTAAATATTTTCTTTTTTTAACATGGTCAGATACCATCAATTTGACTTTAGTTACAAAAGATATTTAATGGTTAACATGATTTTTTTCAATTATATTGATTGATAAGCTGAATTAAAAACGTAGAGTACGTTTGTTAAAAAAAATTATAATCTCACAACGCAAATGCAAAGCCTCCAAAGGACGTCCCGTTAAAATCGAAGAAACTGTGTGTGTATAGAAGAACTTAAGCCACCAAAATCGTTTTTCACACGATATAAGTAGGAATATACATATAAATACTTTTTCATTAAGTGAATTGTATTCTTTTAAGAAATAAATAATCTTAAACCTAAAAAACCAGTGAATGTAAAGGACTATCATTTTTTTATTGTTATATAAGTTTTCGAATCCTGCAAATTTAGCTTAGTTATTTTGAAACCTTAGGCCTGCACTTATTTTTTTAAAATGCTATTATTACGATGAAGAGGATAATATTATTATTATTGAACATACATATTTAGTTTAATATATAAGTAAAAATGAATCACCGAAATGTATGTTGCATACTTCCGATCGACTGTACCAAATTGGATAATTCTTTTTTTCTGTTTGTTATTGACGGGAAAAGTTTTATATAGAAGAAAATTAAAAGAAAAAAATATTTTTTCCTAAAATAAGTTTTTTTTTAAATCTCATGATATGAAAAGTGAGTGAGTGAAATAGTTTTTATCCCGGAAATCATCCCTTAAGGGGGTGAGAATGGGGATGAAAGTTTGTATGGGGAAGCAAGCTAGGAACGAACCCAAGCGAAGCGAGGTAGAGTCGCTAGTATTTAATATTTTATAAGAACATATTTTGACTGTGAAAAGAAAAATTTTAAAATTATTTCGCTTTACTTCCTACTGTTTTTACTCGTAATTTGACATTTGATTTAGCTATCAGCAAGTTTACTTGATATTTGTGAATGTAGGCTTGGTTTCTCATGAAGGATCATGATTTAATTGCAATAGTTATTCGGCCGGACTGATAAAGATCTATGTCGAGAATTGGAGGTCATTTGACTGCTCCATCTTTGTATGATCGCATTACTTTAGAATATTGATTATTATATGTTATGAAATAAAAAAAATTAAAATCTTGCGGCTCAGTAGCAATTGGGTATGTTCGTTATGTCTACTATGGAAGTCACTAGTTCAAATGAATGCACACAATAGAAATATTTTTTGTATTCCACATAAATCATTAAATATTTATTATGAAAGTATAAAGGATGATAGATCCACACCAGAGAGACACTTCAAGGAGCAGAAACGAGGTTTTACGAATTAGCCATTCTAGCATAACTATTTCACTCCAACCCGGGACTCGAACTTAGGATCTTAAATATAAGAAAAGCCTATGTGTTGCTAGAAGCCATATTCTGTGTACTAAATTTAATCTCAATCTATTCAGTTGTTTCAATGTGACAGAGAGAGAGACATACACACAGTTACATACATAAAGCAGTGTGATGTTTTTATAATATTTACATGCAATATGGTAAATTAATATTTAATTTATGGCAAATTAATAATAATATTATAAATTTAAATATATAATATTTAAAACATAGTTTTTTTGTTCTTTAGTTTTTTTTATAGCATAGTTTAATTTATGCTTGTACCGAATTTACTATAACTGCGCTTGTTATGTACCATACTTTTAATTCAATTTTTTTTTTCAAGGCTATATATTGGTTACATTATAAATTGATATTTTATTATACTAATTTTAACCTTCTCCTTACACTATAAAAGTTTAAAGTTTATAAAACTTAAAGGTTAAATTTATTTATTGAATGGAATTGAATTTAAGCCAATTTATGTTATAATTTAAGTTAACTAGTTTGCCCAGTGCTCGAAATGCGACCATAAACTTTATTCAAAATTTGTGATAAAGATATATAAATAGAATTTACCTATCTATATAAAAACTATTTGCTTCCAAATTTTTATATTGATAACACTAAAGCAATAACTATTAAATAAAGAAAAAAGAAAACCAGTTAATAAACTGAGGAGAAAAAGTTATCAAACTGTTTTGTCTTTGCCTATTTCTATATAGACTAGCGACTCACCCTCGCTCCGCTCGGGTTCGGTCGTTTCGTATAGATTTCTCAGAGATTGAGATATTATGAGTAAAAAGTATCCTATATAATGACCTGGAATCTCATCAAAATCTGTACAGTGGTTTTCTCATGATGCGTTCCCAGACAAATAGACAAAAATTCTAAAAACTATAGATTCAGCCTCTTTAATATCGATAATAATGACTATTATTATATTATTTCAATAAGATTTTCCAAAAAATATTTAATGTACAGATTCGACTCAGAATTGTTATTATATGTGTAGATGAGTTATCTTCAATATACTTATCTTCATTTAACACAATATTTAAAAAAAGACGTATTACTTTATCATATATGCAACTATTATCATTTATGCGTCATAGAGAGTAACAATGAAATAGAACAATAAAAATATTGATGTTAATGTCAAAAAGCCCGGACGTCTTAATCATACCTATGTGGTAACATTTGTAAGCGAGACTCGTAAATATTTCAATGGTTAATTTTTGTATGCCGTGACTCTGAGGTCAAACGCTGTAAATAATTGCACTTGTGCAAGTTAGGAGTGCCGCAGACATTAGACCAGACAAATTTTAATTATTATTTTTCTTAATTTCATACAAGTGAGTCAGACGTCTTTTCTACACTCAAGTTCTAGATTTTTTAAATACTTTTATACTTGTTTATATGTATGTATCTGTGTGTGTGTTTATATGTGTCTATATTATTTCTACTGATAAAAATAACGCTTTGCTTCGTTTCTGAGTAAAAGAAAGATATTAAAAAAAACGCATTGTCGCATTTATAATACTAGATTTTTTTTTATAGAATTACACTTTCTTTTTCATCATATCCTAATCATGACTAATATTACAAAGGTAAAAGTGTGTCAATACCTTACATTAAGCTTACTTTATCCATAGGAACATTTAATGGAACAAATTGAATTATAGGCTATTTTTGGTCATAGTACATTATGAAAGTCTTGGTGGGTGTCAAAATACCGAAGGATAAGACTGGTACACTCGTGATTACAGAAATAACATGAATAAAACTATTTTTATTATTTTATTAAGCAAGTCTCCCTTCTTATAATGGTCTAAGAGCTGGCAAATTTTTTGACAGAGAATTTTAAGAAAGCTAGTTTTTCGATATGTCTTTTCTTACGCTCTTTCGATCGCCATGTTGGCCATCTGGCTGCCGGTAGACGTTGCGTTCCTTTCTGAGCATAACCCATGAACAGATAAAAATGTTAATTTTTCAAATAATTTTAAGATTTTTTTATTATTTCACTATTTTTTAAAAACTATAAACAACATAAATTATTAATGCCAGAGAGAGTTGATAATAATATGCCATAAGTGCCGTATGTCTGAGCTTACTCTAATTGATTAGGCTGCGCATGTTCATTGTTTGATTTAGTGATCCCACTATAGGTTCCAATAACGTGCTACTAGTCCTTGAAAGTCACATTCTTTGGCTTAAACTAGAATGCTATGCAATTTAATTGAGTAGATGTCAAGAAAAATAAATATCCCTTACATAATACTATTAAACAATATCGTCACAATAACATACTCTGCATTATTGTAATTTAATATTTAGATTTACATAATGATCAAAATAATATATTATAATCTTAATAGTTTTTTTAAATAAAAATATATATTAAGTAATTTTAAACTGAGTAATTCGATTATGTATGAATTTTTAAATTAGATTTAAAGTTTATATTATAATTCAAACAAGTCCAGAGTGTATGTGTATAGTGTGAGTAATTATTAGGTTTTCTGTCGTTACATGTATATTGTATAGCCATCAAGAATAAGGGCGTGTAACACAGTTGGACTGGACGTAAAGTCATCAATCCTGCATCTCTACGCTCGTGTCGGATTGCTTTCCTATCGTACTATACATAAGTGTGTGTGGAAGGAGAGCGCACTGGTTAGGGACCATAATATCTTAAGGATGCTAACCGCCATGATAGAAGTTCGATGAGTAAAATAATCTATACATATAATAAAATTGTAACTAAGACGAATATGTACATTAAATATTTTTTGGAAAATCCTATTGAAATAAAAATTATTATCTATACAGAGGCCGAATATATAGTTTTTTAAATTTTTATCTGTCTGTTACCGCATCACAGAAAAACCACTGAAGGGATTTTCAACAAATTTGGTATGGTGATAGCTGGTTATTCGGGTGTCTCATTTTTGAGAAAATATTTTTTCTCAAAAACGTCTCATTTTTGAGAAAAAATACAAAAAAGTAATGTAACAGTATACTAATATGTAAAACCTAAGAATTTGGTTTTTAGTCATCTGAACGCGGGCGGAGCCGCGGGCAATGCTAGTTTTCTTTATAAAATAGCAAGACATATTCCATAGAGTTACTTAAAAACAATAGAGAAAAATAAAAAGTAAAAACATTTTTAATGTTTTTGTACAGTAATTTTTAAACTGGAACATGTATTTTTAACCAAGTGATTTCTTCGTCGTTTGGCGTTTGAAGACCTCTTTGCAACTGACCATCTGGAAACAAATTTAAAAATTAATTAGTTCACGTAGAAATTGGTACATATTTTTCTTCAATGTCAAAAAATGTCATAGGCAATAATAATTTATGTATTAGGTACATTCTTTTTACGTATATAACGTAAGTAGTATAAGTAAGGGAGATATAATATTGTGACACTACGCTCTTCTTATTCGGAAAAAGATAAGCATTGAAATCTCTTCTAATAAAAATCAAGTATATGTATATCTCAGGCGAACACTGTCTACAAACATACCCCAAAATCAAACGCTGGTTATTGGCGTAATACACTACATGACAAGCTGCTAAATGCTTCCGATATTTAAGATTATTGTCGTGTATATATATCAATGACTTCTTTATTAATAATAGGACTATTAAGGTTCTCATTGCAAGAAATTCTTATACTTTATAAAAAAACTATTTTTTAATATGTTTTAAACTATTTACTTACTTTTCTTTAGTAATTTTAATATATCCACTAATTGATTGTCCGACCCTTGTTTAGGAGTTACAGTACTTGAAGCAGTTGGACGATTGCAATTTACTGAAATTACAAAAAGTAGGTACATGCATAAATTACCCTTTCTTAAATTTTCGTCAATTTATCACTGATTATCATCCTCTTATTCCGAATCAATCCTTTTTTGTAAAAGTATACAGTAACAGTCATGTAACCTTTAAGTATACATATATTAAGCTCAGACTAACGGACGGAGCCCGTAAAAAAAATTAAAATCATTAACAGAAGCTAGCTAGCACTTTATACTACTATTTTAAATGTTGCCATACATACGTTTGCTTCCTTCAAAAATCCTTTATTCTTTGAAGATAATTTTATATAGCGGAATACAATTTTTGAGAGGAGACGGAAATATGAATAATAAGAAAAAAACTATATTCTATTGTATTTTTTAATCTTTTTTTCATCCCCTTGAAAAAAGAATATAATATTTTTTATATAAAATAAGCTATTTAATAATATATAATTATATATAATTATATACTCTATTTTCTCTAATATTATTTTTTTATATTATATTTAATATAAAAAAGATGTATTATTTAATAGAATCTGTTCTGTCTGTTTATAGTCCTTAATCTGTGATATTAAAATTATTTGCGAGGATTATAAAAAAATAATGTCACATTAAAATATAAATAATTTTCGCAATACACATACAAATGTGCTATATCAAGAAAATGAGCAAATAAGTTTTAAAGTTGTAAGTTTTTTTATTTTTAATGTACTTACGAAGCACATAATGTAAATAAAATAAAAATGGACCTGACACTTACGTGTCAAATTAAGCTTCTTTTCGAATTCCTCTAAAGCTTTCTTCATGTCATCCACATGAACGACTTGTTTTCCGGTGTCTGAAATTTGAAATTCTGATAATTTACCTGTATATTTTGACGTCATATAATTTCCAATCTAATTAACATTAAATTGTTATATTTGAAGTGCTTTTTTTTTCTTATCTAAACTCGCTATAAATACAAAAAAAATCCTCAGTGTGGGCTTTTTTCTTGAAATTATAAGACCCGTTTATAATTAGTGAAGATATCGCGCATCATATATATAAAAAATATCTCAATTGAATTCATCGTTTATTGGGTTAGTTAAAATTAATTTTAAATGTTAAAGAGGCCATAATGTAATTGAAACTTTCCATTCCAAACTTCAAGCTATCAAGTACATGTAAAGACCAAATTAGCAAGTGTTTTTGTTAGTCCGTACAATATTGCTAAATTATGCTATTATTATTATTTACATCTTGCTTTTGAACTTTATGAACTCAAAAAGTTCTCTAAAACCAAAGTAAATTTCCGGTTCTTTGAAAAGCTTACATAGGGACAATATTATACTATACCATAATTTGTTGTAGAACTTTCAGTCTTTGTCGAGTCTCTATTAGTCGTTTCTGTAAATAGATATATAAAAAAATGATTAAAAAATTAATTCGACTTCAAAAAAACTACTAAAAAGTAAAAAATAACTCATTGGTAGTTTTCATTTACTATATTTATTTATTTACTTTTTAAATAAATAAATAAATAAAAATAAATAAAAAGAATGATTACGATCCAATTACTAGTAACCACTAGAGTCGTAGAAATGCGTGTACAAACAAACATACATAAATAATACAAACATACAGTCACAGATTATCATATATGTATATTTTGCAGTTCCTATAATATTTATTTCATATCGAATTGATAACCTCCTTTTTTTGAAGTCGATTAAAAAGAAATAAACATTGTTATTATAAAACACATTCTAGTCATCTTCTTTAATATAATAATGGCTTTTATATGTGCTAATTAAGCACAATATTGTAAGGTGGCTACATCACCTTCAAATTATAAATGAAATGGATGTGTGCTAGTTAGGTACTTTTTCACAATATAATGTCTCAATGGATTGTCGATTTTCATTATAAATGAACATTTTAAGGTAATTAAATATAGACATATACTTATATATTATTTTATAATCAGTCAGTTTGATTATTTAATAACACACCAGTCGAGGACGACTGGACAGATTTACATTAAACTTTTTTAAAGTATGAGCAATAATTTCATTTTAAAACATATAATATAATTAAATCCAATAAAATGCCTGCGGAATTTTAAGATATACAATATGTAGGCCGAAATCCAGTTTTTTAAAGTAAAATTAAAAAACAATTTCATAACTAATAACTTACTTGTATTGTTATTGTTTGATCTCACTAAAATCACAAAAATATATGATTAAATTACTTTTATGGTAGTGTCTTTATACAATTTGAGGTCTTGTCAGGTAACACATTTTCTATTATTTCTATAAATTATGGAGCTTTGAAGTTCCTAGACTAGGTACTACTAAGATTTTAATAAGCTTAACAATACTTGGCCCGACTCGAGACTCGAACCCATGATAGATGCTAGATACTAGACCAATGAGGCAGATTAAAAATATACAACCGAAGTTTGTATTTCCTATTAGAAGTAAGACCAAAAATCTTACGTATAAAGTATAACATGGTAAAGGAAATCATTAAAAGTACATTCGATATTCTAAATAAAATTGCAATATTTATATATAGCAGTGTTAGGTTATCGTAAATATAATATTTTTTCTGTTTATGAAGTTCTGCATTCGATAAGAATTTATTTTTAAAATTTATACATTAACTAGCAACTAGTTACGTTTTAACGATTAGTAAAGATTTCTCAGAGATGAGATTTTTCCCGCAGTAAAACGTATCTTAAATGTTGACCCGGATAACCAGCTATCATCATGCCAAGTTTCATCAAAATCCCTTCAGTGGTTTTTCCATGATGCGGTAACAGACAGACAACATTTCTAAAAACTATATATTTGGCCTCTGTATCGATAATAATGTCTATTTCAATAAGATTTTCCATAAAATATTTAATGTACAGATGTATGTGCTTAGTTACAATTTTATTATATGTATAGATTATTTATTGCAATATAGGAACATATTTTCTTATCAGCGACAACGGATTTGATTAAATAATTTATACTGGTCTCAGCTGATTTTTAAAAGCCTTTACATAGCGGAATAACTTTCAAAATATATGAATATTCATAAGTCGCGATGAATGGAAATTATGTAATAATATAGGTAATTAAAGTTACACGATAAAAGATAAGAAGTTTTTTAAAGGATATGTGTAAAAAATGCATTCTGTACAAGTGTATGTTAGTTTTAAGAAAATAATCTTATGTGAAGCTTGAAATAAAATATAGTAAAGTCTTCTTATTTAGGTGATTGTAACTTAATTTAAGCCATCTTTTATATTATATGTACTAGCGGCTCACCCTCGTTTCGCTCAGGTTCGCCTCTAGACAAACAAAAACAAATCTATCCCACGGTCTCGGAGATTAGCCCGTACAAACAGACAAACAGACAGAGAAACAAAAAAATTGAACAAAAATTGGATTTGTTTTATTTCTCTTACATCCCCCTGGCTCGGTTTTTAGCATTTTTTTCTATGTACAGACATTCGACCTCCACAGTTTTATTATATGTATAGATTAACTTAGTGACTAAAGAAAATAAAATACTATGCTTAATAGACGTAGTACGTACTTACATGTAGGGCGATTATGATTATTTCTTACTTCAGGTTGGTACTTTGGTTTTTCTATATCAAATTGCACTTCAATTTCATGGTTAGGAAAAATACCTTTAAAATATAATCATAAAGTCACTATGCAATGCTACAGATCTTCTACCTAACTACACAGTATACCTACATCCTTATAAATTTACAATATCTATGCAATATAAAGGAAATCCTATTACATTTAAGAAGCAAACATTTTTATTAATATCTTATGTTTAATTATTGAGCAAAGATAATAGGTATACGTTGTATTTTGAGATTATTATACGTAGACGTATATTCTATGAAGTTGAAAAATATCGATGGTCCCTACATATAATTCCATAAGTAAAAAAGGCAAAACTTACAGTTAAACAATGTGTACTCGCAACTTTAAAGGTTAATAAATTAAAAAAAATTATAGCTAAAAAGCTGTAATTTGGCATACTGATTTTATTTACGGTTGACAATAAATTAAATAATTTTGACATTTTTTTTATTTTGAATTTATAATATTAACTGATTAGGAATATACATCGGAAAATTAAACACACATTCTAAGTAATTAACGCTTACTACATTTTACTTTGTATTTTTAATTAAAGATAAAAAATATAAGATTTTTGGAGTAGTAGAATCTGTAATAAGTCCAAGGAGATTATCTATCGAACTACGTACAAGACTCCTGCAATGCTATATTTGACCCGTCATATTTTACCGCTGCGAATCTTGGACCATGAAAGAAGATCTCCGTAAGAAACTTGAGGCATTTGAAAAGTATATATGTGGGCGTATCTCCGCATGCTCAGAATAAGTTGGACATATGAAGTCACCAACATTGAGGTCCGCAAACAAATGAAATGAACCTGTACTTGTCCAAGACACAGAGAAACGTTGTACCTAGGACACGTGCTAAGGCATGAACGTTACCAACTGCTGCAGACTATTATGATGAGCAAAGTTGCGGGTAAGAGAAGTATTGGGAGAAGGAAGATTTTCTGGCTCTGCAACATCCGGAAATGGACCGGGATAAAGAGGGTTGAAAATCTGTTTAGGCTAGCCCTGAACAAAGAATAATTTAGGAGTATGAATGCTGACCTTCAATAATGGAGAGGCACTTGAAGAAGAAGACGAAGAATCTGTAATATTATATACTAGCGACTTACCTTCGCTCATGCGTCCCTAGGGATCTTTGTGATCATAGTCTAAGTGTATACTGAATTTCATACAAACCCGTTCAGCCGTACAAACGCATTCATATACATATTTAGAATTTATTCACCTTGGTTTGGTCTGTAGTCTTTAGATAAAAATTTACTTATATTCATATATGCGTAATAACTGTTTGTCAGTCTTTCTTTCAGCAGCAAAATCGCAAAAGACGTATGTGGTTTTTTTTTGTTTAGGTATGTTTTGTCCATACAAAAAGTAACGCGGTATGGACCAATGAGTAGAATTGGAATGCTTTATAGCTGCTTACGAAATGCTTTCATGGTCACGGGACCGCCTGAATAATCCGAAAAGATAGTTTTATTTAAAATGAAGTGTCAAGTTATTTTGCGAAACTGCAAAAGACATCTAAGAACATGTTTCGTTAGTTAGTTATGTAATAGTAGTAATTAGTCTTTAAAATTTACCTGACAATTTTTTTATTGGTTTTATATACATTTCAATATCATTCGGAACTTCTTGTAATTTGACCTTGTTACCTTAAAAATGTGCATATATAAATTTTTGTGTTAATTAATTGTGAACGTTTTATTAGTAAACTGATATACATATGCATTATAATTCAGTCAATACTTAAGCTTATTATACATACTAGGTAGCCATTAAAACTATTTGAATATAGGTACTATTGAAAATTAATATTAAGATTTACACATTTAAATATTATATTACCTAATATTAGGCTTTAAATTTAACCCCCCCCCCCCCAACGTGCTATCACTTTGTCGTGGTGGGGGGGGGGCTCAGTAGTGCCCGGCAATCCAACCGGGCGCGAAGCCAAGAAACGCACTGGGAGGTGGCCCACTTAGGTGGGCAGTGGGAGATAGCCCTCTTCGGAGGGCGGTGTACCATGCGGGTTGCACCTGGTACTTCTCTGATAGCAGATTGGACCTTGGAGCAACCCCATGGTTGTGGTGGTCTGCTTCGGCAGACCTGCCGTCGGTGTGTCGTAGTTGAATGCGTAAGCGATCCTGCGACGCCCCATTAAGACGGGAGAAGGTATTGTTGGGTTTTAGTGGGTAGTACTGGCTTTATTACGCCGGTGAGTCCCACACCTCGTGCGTA